TTTGCAGTTAGTGCTGCTTTTGCAGCCAGTGCTTGTCTGTCAGTACAAGAACAAACAGTCCTGATGAGTTTTTGGTTTTTGTTTTGGTTTGGTTTTTTTTCCATCTGCCTTATATATTGCAGTACCAGGATCACCTGTGGTGTTGAAATCTGGGTTGTATTGCATTAATATTGCTGTCCGTCAGTAAATTCATTAGCTGTGGCAATGACACTTTCATAAACTGTCCACAAACACAGTACAACTCTTCTACTGTAAAGGCATTAACTGTTAAAGACATTGTAGATAGGTAAAAATACTTGTTACGCTTTTTGGCATTCTTTAAAATAGTTATTGTCTGGCTGAAGCCATTACAGCGGACACCTGTATATGTTGTATGTCAGTAACAGCATACAGTACAGCCCTGCTGTCGAGGCAGATGAAATCCCCATGAACATCCAATTCTGGTGTGTGTTAAGAGTTTACATACTAACTTTGTTTGTCATTTCCCTGTCAGAAGTCAAATTCTTGAACTGAGCTGTTGTCCGAGAAGTTCAAAATCTTAGACAGGCACAAGACTGCTAAAAATTTGTTCCTCATTCTGCTGTAATGACAGCAAATCCTGAGCTCCAGTAGCTGAAATTTTGCATTGTGTAGCATCAACTTCTAAATTCAAACAATGGGTAAGTTCTGCACTGGGGAGTCAGTCTGGTACTGTTTGTATGCAAGAGTTTTTATTTCAGTGTAGCAGATGGCCAGCCTAACTACAGAGAGTGAAACACTGAAGAATGAGTATGGTTTTTTCTTCTGTTGGTCATGAGAACACAATTTATTCCTTGTATTCTTCAGTACATGCATGATTGGCTTTTCATTTTTTTCCAGCATTAGGAGAATAGTTTTGCATGAATATTCAGATCTATATTCAGCCTAGAGCAAAAGGCTTGTTTTGTTTTTCTTACATCTGACTAAGTTGATCACTCAATCCTACAACATAAATAGTAGTGGATAGTGGTTGTGTGGCTTTTGGGGGGGGGGGTTGGTTTTTTTGTTTTGTTTTGTTTTATTTTAATAAAAGGCTTAATGAACACCACAATCCAGAACTTGTTCTGCAGCTATTTTGTACATTCTCTGCAGGCTTTGGTTAAACTATTTGCATGCAGAACAAAAATCAGTTCTAAACACAAAAGGAATTAGAAGCAGATGCTATAGGCATTTCTGCTTGCTTGTTTTCAGCGTTTGGAACATAAACCAGTGAAACAATGTCCTGGAGGCTATAGAACCCTATGAGGGCACTTGCAGCAACACCTCAGTCACTTAGAACAGTAAGATTGCAATTGTTACGTTTGGGAGTGAAATACTGCATACACAGGCTAGCTGAGCTCCCCTAAGGGCTGCTTTTCATCCCCCCAAAAAATCACAGTTGTTCTCAGTTGTGACTTTTTTCCTAGCCTAGACCCTGGTGTTGCACTTTCACTCCAGAAATGTCTGTCTGGGCCTGGGCTGCTGCGTCTTGCTCATTAAGCGAGGGATACTTGGACTGGAGACTCCAGCGCTAGTTCATGGGTCTGGACTTCCTCCAGAAGACAACAAAGGATTATCTGCCATGCGCAAGGGCCGTAATTTTACTGGGTCGGTTCCAGTGCCGTGTCTTTCCGCTCTTGTCCCGCAGATGCCAGCTCTCCTGTGCCCTCCCTCTCCTTGGTCTGCAAGGAGACAGCAGCAGCAGCAAGCCCGGTGCGCAGACAAAGAGCGAGAGGGAGCTGCTGTCTCCTGGAGGAGAGGCAGGCTACCAGGCAAGACTCTTTGAGCAGCTCCATCTTCTGGTGCTATGGAGATGTTACAGATTTTTAATGTTTCAGGGTTTGGAAATAAGATGATGTAACCCAGTTGTAATGGGTACTAAACAGGTATTTAAAAGGAGAAAAATAATGTTTTTCAAAGTTACAAGGGGAGCTCAGCTAGCCTATGTAAGTAATATTTCCCTTCCAAACGTAACAGACAGCAGCAGCAGCAAGCCCGGTGCGCAGACAAAGAGCGAGAGGGAGCTGCTGTCTCCTGGAGGAGAGGCAGGCTACCAGGCAAGACTCTTTGAGCAGCTCCATCTTCTGGTGCTATGGAGATGTTACAGATTTTTAATGTTTCAGGGTTTGAAAATAAGATGATGTAACCCAGTTGTAATGGTACTAAACAGGTATTAAAAAGGAAAACGTAACAGTTGCAATCTTACTGTTCTAAGTGACTGAGACATTTCTCTTGCCAGCCTACAAACCTGCATTACTCAGTGGAGTTTGGTTGTTTGGGGCGTTTTTCCCTCAAAATTTTCAAAGCTGGCAAATTGTAGAAGGCCTCTGACTCAGCTGTAACGTAGTAATTGTCAGTGTTTTTCCAAGGTGTTAATACTTAAGATGTTCTTTTTGAACAGATCTTCCAGTTAATTTCTCTGCCCTTTAAGATGCCATATACTTGCAAATGTTAAATATTCAGGTGTAACCTTTCCCTCATTTACTGAATTAGTATCCTTTGCCCAGATATGAGGTTTACAGCCTCCATTCTGTTTGCAAGATTTTCTTTTCATTCCTGTATTTTGAAGTTCAGTTATGAATCACTGATACTTTTATTACCAAGTTTGCAGTCTAAAAGTACAGACATCACCTTCAACTCATGCAAGATTGAACTGCACTTTTTAATTAGACTTAGCAGAGAACAGTAACTAATCAAGGGCTCACCTGAAGTATTTAGGGTCCAATGTTAGAGGGTGAGTACTGTCTATCACTTTGTTGCAGTGATCATTCATTGCCGCTTTTACTGCCACATCCTCTGGTTTGCTTCCATTTTTTTCCCAAAGGCTCTTAGCCACTGCTTGGTTTAGCTAAGATGCTAAATCTGAAGGTTTACATAGAAGCTTGCCAAAAGCCCATTACAATAAATGAATGCTTTTCCAATCAGGCTGTGTTATGTTTCGTGGCAGATGTGCTTAAGCAGATGAATGCCTCGATCGCTTATTCCTACCTCCAAGCCTGTTTCTTGCACTTTGGGCGCAAGAAGCTTTTTGGCCAATCAGCTCAGGATAGAATGACCCAATAAATGATAATACAGTCAAGAAAAGACCCTGTGGTTTGTCTGGATGACTTCTCTATTTTAGTCTGGTGTGGCATGAGCAGGAACAAGCAGACAGAACTCAGAGGTGGTAAAGCAGGATCAGGTAAGAGGTTGGGATCAGAGGAATGTGGAAGGTTGACTGCTGATGTTGCTGAAAAACGCTGCTTGCAGAGGAAATTTGTGTGCGGATCTTTAGCAACATGCACAGGTTTCTACAAACTTGCAGAACAGTCCTTTTGTCAATTCCCAATTTGCCACATTTTTATGTACAGCATTGCTAACAAATTAATGGACAGCTCACAAGATTCACTTTCTCATGTCGTTTGAAACATATTTTGAGATTTATGGGCCTGCACCTTTTTAGCCGTGTATGACTTCTGAGGCTAAACCTGCCTGTGGCTTTATTTGTGGGGCTGTTTATCAGCATCAACCTGTTAGGTGCTCTGATACTACAGTAACAAAACCCAGTACCAATTTTACTAGAAATAACCTAGAAAAGACTAAAGGGCGGATGATTACAGGGTTCTGCAAAGCACCACCCTTCATGGTATAGCAGGTACTACAGGAAGAGACAGGACCAAGGACCCTCAGCAATATGCTACTTGAAAATGACTGCCTATTTTTAGTATGTGAAGAGCTTAGTGAATCCCAGCTACAACCTACAGTCCACCAGAATGCAGTGAAGGGAATAGCTGTGCGAGTATAGGGTACACAGCTTTTATCAACCTGGGCAGACTTGCTTTGCCATGAAAGACACCAGCAACTAGAAAAACAATCAGTTGACAACAGTGACAGACAATTCAAAAGGGAACTTTATTAGGTGTAAGAGGGAGCACTAGTGAAACGGTTATGTTGTTTGTTTCATGTGGACTAATGGGAAAGAAGCTTGTTAAATTAGTCAAACCCCTCCAACACCACATTCAGTGAAGGTACAGATAAAATATATTTCCCCAAATCCAAGTTATCTCCTACACAATAGGGAAGACTAGACTACTTCTAGAAGGAAAAAAACATGGGTAAAAACACTGAAAAAATCAGGTTGTCTTTGTATGCAGTAGAGGAACAAAACAGAAAAATTGTGATAAAGGTGTGCAAGCCACTTGTGTTTCTTTTGTAAAAATCAGGGCACAGATACCTAATGCACCACATGAACCATTCTGTATCTCCCCATGCCTGACAACAGATACTTCTGAAGAGCTCTCTTCCATCCAGAGCTGGCTGTCCTAAACTTCAGTATTTCTTTTATCTCCAGTGACTATAAACAGACGGAACATATGTTGAAAGCAGATACTACCTATATATGTAGTCCAGTTTTACCAGGTGCTAAAGTTACCCTCATTACCCATATTAAGTGGGCAGGCAAAGTGCTTCTAAATCAATTATAACCTTGAATGTAATGTGGTTGATTGTTGGCAGAAAGTCTATTCACTGATAATTAAAGAACATCTTTTCAGAAGGTAGTAGGTACAAGTACACTGTTCATGCACTTACTGAAAAATTGGGACACAGTAACACTAAGTGAACAAGACAGTTTCTGAACTTACTTGAAAAAAAATGTCTTGTCAAGACAGTAATTACAGTGAGGCTGAATCAACCAAATCCGTTTGTTTTCAGATTCTGTGTTTGATTCTGAATTAAGCAGGGTTCAGTTTGTACACTGTCTTATAAATCAGATTAAATTCATATATCTTTTTAACAAAATAATTCTTAATCCTTTAAAAACACCAATAAAAAGGTATATGATAATCCAGTTTTCAAAAACCCATCTTAAACATATTTTCCCTACTAGCATATAAAAAGAGAAAGGAAAAGTTGTCATGCAAATATCCTGAACAGCGTGGTAATAATCAGTAAAACCATTAAGCACATGAACTTCTCAGCAATCATTCTGACTTTCCTTTTAGTAGCATACAAGCCAGGATGTAACCTCAGTTTCCCAGCAGTAAATTAAATTCATTGTTTGAAAACCCCCTAAAGCTCCATGCGAGAGCTGATCTATTTCCACTTCAAGTCACATATTAGTGCTATATGATCAGAAGGATGTGAAACACTTGGCAAAGCCTGGTGGGTTGTTACTTCTTCGTGACTTGGCAATGGAATGACCTGTTCAACCTCTAGTGCATTTCTGTCGATGAAAATGTAGTCCAGACACCCATGAAATCCACCAACGTAGTTTGTATAAGCAGGTTCTCCGCAAGCACTCAGCAGTTTGAAAGGGTGGCTTAGAGGCATATTGCACCTCTCTTCTTCACCGTTAGAGACCCAGTCCTCATGCTCTTCAGCAATGCCACCAGTGTTAATGAAACTGTAAGTTCCAGATGATGGTGTGCTGTTAAAATCTCCACAGAATATGACTGGTATGCTAGGATACAAGTCACACGCTATATGCTTGATGTGAGACAAGGCCACAGCAGTTTGGATGAGACGGATGTTCCCACCTGAGAATATAAAAGCACATTACTTTAAATACTTCACAGTAGCATTGGAGGACTTTTACAAGTTGCTCATTTAAACATACAAGATGCATAGCTCTGAAACAGCAATCTCATTTTAAATTTTCTGTGCAGTGTGTTCTAGAATAGCTTTCATAAAGAAGCCTTTGAAGTTTGTGACTGTGGAAGTTCTAGAGAGACAGAATTTTTAATTTAAACTTGCACGTGCAGGAACTCTGAACCTTAAACACCCATATTACAGCAGAAAGAAACTAATTTAAAAGAGCAGAATCTCTTCTAAAAGCTTCTGTAGCCTGATCCGGCCGTGCTCCTGGCAGTACCCCAGTTGTACTGTACTGTACCTTCAGGTACAATGGGATTGGGAAGCCATAAGCACACACAAAGCTATCTGTACTTTATGGCCTACTCTGTGGGTGAATTGTGCCTAACATGACTTGCCTTGCTTTCAGCTGTATCATACGGACTCCCAGGCAGATCAGAACAATCTTACTCTCAGCAAAACAGATAAACAAACCTAGCAGCCTGGCGTGATTCATCTAGATAAGCAGCAAGGCAGGAAAGTTCCAGAAGAAAAGGTTATAGCTGCAAAAGAATGGGAGGAAATCTATTCTCCCCAGGAAGAGCAAAAATCTTCACAAACTCAGTTATGCCACATATAGGAACATGACAAAATTACCTTTTGGGTGCCAGTACAGGTGGGTATTAGCTACACAAATCTTCCTGGAAGGATCTGATGTAGACTGAAGAACTGAAACCTTCAAGAGAAAAAGCAATCTTAAATCTTAAAAAGTCTTAAATAGAGAGGTTATATATTTTTAAAAATGCAATCGTTAGTTAGCTTCTGTCTTTATGGCAGTCCAGGTCAAAGAATCTGATGCTTGTAACTAACGCACAGTACAGCTCCTAAGTTGAGTCTATTTATCTCCTGTAGAAGGCCTGGGCATCAGTCAATGTATACTGGCCAGTATCTGAGTATTTGACAGATGTTCTTTTCTGTAAGTGTCTGGTCTGGCTGTATTTTTTTTCCTTCAATCCATTCCATATTAAGATGTTGCTAATGCTGTACCATTTTTAACTGCTTTTATTTTTCTATTCTCCTTTCTCTGCAACACAATTGGACCTCTATCTCTGGCTTTAGCAAGCAAACTGTTAAACTGAATGTAAATTTTGAGATCATTTCAGTTATCAAAGAAAGCTTGTTAGCCCTACTCAGTCCACAAGAAGGAAACTTACCAGTGAGTGTTTCTGCAATGCCTGACACAGACCCGTGTCTTACACACGTGGACTTGCACAATAGCTCTCTGCTGGCAGACTCATGGCATCAAGTTCACAAACCTGTCCAACCTTATCTCTCTCCCTACTGTTACTTTCTAAAGTGGCATTATTAAAGCAAGCTAAATTAATTAATCTCACTTTGGACTGATTTACAAGATTTCAGTTTTATGAAATACACACTCTGACATACAAAACCAGTTAAAAACTTGGTAGCCAGTACCACGAACCAGGAATCCATACCTGGCCCAGAATCTCAACAGTTGTCTTAATCTTAAAACAAAAAATAATTTTGCCTTTTTTACCAAATTTTGGTAATTCCATATATCCAGTTCAGTAAAGCCTCCATGTTTTCTTCTTGTTCCTAAGTTGCTGCACCTGCCTGGAGACAGTGGACAGGAGAAAGTAAAGAGGAAGAATGCACATAAAAGCTGGTACCTGCAGCACAGATGATCTCTGCAGCACCTTCTCCTGCACCAAGGGGTACTTGGCCAGCTTATCAGACAGTTCCTTGTGCAGCGGGTCCGAGAGCAAGGCTTCGCTGAAAGCTATGTCATGCTGGCTGAGGAGACTGAACTTGTCCCTGCGGTAGAAAGTGGCCAGGCCTTCATGCTGCTTCTCCTTAATCTTGAAAAGCCCTTCGAGTCCAAAAGCATCTAGGGCTGGAGCCAAGCTGTCCACGAAGACGGTCTTATCCACTTCTTGCAAGCAGATGAGGTCGGCACTGTAGCCCACCAGCTCCTTCTTGAGGAGATTCTGCCGGTAGTCGAGCTCCAGAGCGTACGGGGCGCAGTACGGGTAAAGCACGGTGCGGGAGAACTCCGTCTGGGCATAGGTATCGGCCAGGATGTTGTAGGAGACGGCGCGAATGGAGCCCTCCCCGCAGACTTTTTTGGTGTAGAGGTGCCGGGAATCGAAAGTGCA